CCGCCATCTGTGCGAAAACTAGGTTAAATTTCCCGCCATCTGTGCGAAAACTAGGTTAAACTTCCCGCCATCTGTGCGAAAACTAGGTTAAACTTCCCGCCATCCGTGCGAAAACTAGGTTAAACTTCCCGCCATCTGTGCGAAAACTAGGTTAAACTTCCCGCCATCTGTGCGAAAACTAGGTTAAACTTCCCGCCATCTGTGCGAAAACTAGGTTAAACTTCCCGCCATCTGTGCGAAAACTAGGTTAAACTTCCCGCCATCTGTGCGAAAACTAGGTTAAACTTCCCGCCATCTGTGCGAAAACTAGGTTAAACTTCCCGCCATCTGTGCGAAAACTAGGTTAAAACTTCCCGCCATCTGTGCGAAAACTAGGTTAAACTTCCCGCCATCTGTGCGAAAACTAGGTTAAACTTCCCGCCATCTGTGCGAAAACTAGGTTCCATCTGTGCGAAAACTAGGTTAAACTTCCCCAGCATGATTGGGAAATAGGTATGTGTTTGTGAATGTTAGTACCCGCCATCTGTGTCGGAAAAAAGGTATGGAATTGATGTGAACTGATTTGGTGAAAGAAAGTTTGAATGTGATTTTAATTAACAACGGTCTTTTATGAGGAAAAGCCTCTAAATTCTATCGGGAGATTTTAAATGTCACAACTGAATTGGGCAGTTGAAGTTAGAATTTTGGTAATAAATGTAAAACTGTGAATTAAAGTTTCATATTAGAACATGATCACAGCATGATAGGTTTAGTACGAATATAATGTTGTAACGAGAGAAGGTAAAAACCCTGTATTAGTTTGGACCTATTTTTCTTCAAATAAACTGATCCCACCTTTTGGATTGGGACAACTTAAAAGACATCTGCGCTCTCCTCTCCTGCTTGAAAGGTAAGATCGCACCCTGCCACACTCACACTTAGGTAGGGCCACACCTCATTTACTGATATCAAAGTCCTTCGGGATTGCTTAAACAGATTTAGGGGGTTGTCTGAATTGAAACAGCAGTTAATTTAACCTGGTTCTTCGGGGAGTTAATAGAGGTGAGATCTTACTGATCGTTGGTGGATCTGAGCCAAGCAGTAAACTTACATAGACTCAATAACTTCGGTTAGGTCAATTAGGAGGTCTGAGTAATTTAAGTTCGGAATGAATTATATCGGATGACTCCCGACTCTTACAAACTATATACAATGAATTCTAACAATCTAAGTGGGAACGGGGTTAGGGGGGGGCTCGAAAATATTTCCAATCACCCAAGGGGGGCCTGACTGAAAAAGGTTGGGAACCACTGTTTTAGAGGACTAGGGCCATATCCAAGCAGACACAATAGAGGTTCCACTGACACCTGTTGACCGATTACTGTAGTGATGTTTGCACATGTTGCCCTCCAAAATACTTGAGTTTTGCTGCATTCCTTCTTTGCAATGCAGCCTAGTCCCTACATGAGTCTCACATATTGGACAATTCTGTGAGGTCCCCGTCTTATACTTACTATAGATATAAGGAGAATATTATAACTCTTTGTATCTGTTCCAAATTGAAATGTTGGAAGGTAGCTTCAAGATATGAACCCAGATACCATCATGCATCACACAGTTAAGCAGAGTACACCAAGATGTTCTCAACCCTCCAAGTTGGTCTGCATTTAGATTGAACATTTCCGAGTTGAATTTGGATATAAAGTGTTTTAGTTCTTTGTGATCCAGCAAAAACCTCTTTAGTAGGTGAGAGTCTCTTGAGATTTCCAATGAATTGGTTTTTTTATACACATAATGTCTGACCTGTAAATATTTTTAGAAGTCTGTATTTTGTAAATGGTAATTCAAATGTTGTAAGTCTTCCACTGTCAAATAGATCATTGTGATAATACCTGCTCTTTGCTAGGGTCTAACATCTGGTCTTAAGCTTCTTCCATGACCACTAAGCATTAGTTATCAAAAGATTCTGCTTAGCAACGGGGGTTAATTCGTTCATTGTCTTAGAGCAGATTGACAGGAGAAACTCCTTACATGTTTAACACTAAATCCTGTACTTTCTACTTCTTACATTTTCAAAACCAACCTGTTACTTTAGTTTGAATCTGCATTTGGTGGAGTGATCATTATTATTTCGAAACATTGAGAGCCTATCTTTTGGTGGCTATGTCCCAACCTTGAGACTAATCACTCAAACATGATAAGCGCTATTATACTGTACATGTTCCCTTTTTTTAACAAAGCCTTTTGGGAAGAGGCGTTTGAGGCTCTTAGAAAAGAAATCAAACGCATCACAATTCATGCCATCTTGACTTTTGTCTTGCAGGTTTCACTTCACTATCTAAGAAGAAAACCCTTCAAATGATATATGTTTAAAAGTCATTACACACTGAACTATCTTTAATGCACTTCTCTCTAAAACCTTGGATGAAAGGACCCTACACACTTTGAGATAATCAGACATAGTTATTGACTGCGGCGCTACGACGTGTAGAAAATCCTTCTTTGATTCAGTTCAACTTTAGAGAGCGTGGGAAAAAGAGGGTCAGAAAGAGGATGAGGGCCACATGGGGACATTTTATTTTAAATTTAAATGATTTTGATCTTTTATTCAGAGGAAACTTTTCTGAATTCTGACTTTACTCTGAGATCTAGGAATATATACATGTTTTAATTGATTGTAAAATATATTTTAAGAAAAATCTGATTTCTGAGATTTTCTTGAAAAGAAAAATAGAAAATCTGAAAAAAAGGTTTAATTTTTTTATCAGAATTCTGACTTTCACTAGTAAAGAAAAAGTTGAGGTCTGACCAAAGTGATTTTTATCTGACTTTAAGTTTCACATGTTCCCACATGTTCCTAACCCTCTTCCATAGACGCTTCTTCCTCTCCATTCTTTGGTGTAAATAAATGCACTTGTGTTCACTTCCCCCCCGACTCTCTCAATGTTATTTGTTGTTGTGTGTGAGAGTGTGTTGGTAAAAGAAATGGCCTTGCATTGCCTCTTGTTTTATTATTTATTTTAGGCTGAAGACTTATCTGCAGAATTGGTCAAATACACTGGAAGTGAGTCAAAAGAGGAAGATGCTAAAGACGTGAAGAAGTGCTATTGGCCACTGGTGAAGTGTGTGACTGTCAGGGGGCCGAAGAAGGGTCTTCTCCAGCACGTCACACTTGTGGATCTTCCTGGAAACCGGGGCCGTAACAAGACCAGAGACACAATGTGGAAAAAGATGATTTATCCACACGCAATGCTGATTATTGTGGAACACTGACAACGTAACCGTTATTATTTTCTGTATTCCCCTCCAGGTTGTTGGAAGTTGTTCTACTGTGTGGATTGTGGCTGAGATCAATGGAGCAGCTTCTGAAAAAGAATCCTGGGAGATCCTGGAAGAATCCTGCAGCCTCATGGGAAATGGTCGCGAGTGTCAGCAGATTCATTTGATCTGCACCAAGTCTGATAGTCTTGGAGGTTCAGATGATCAGTAAGTGGTTTAAGATGCAAAAGTACACAGTTAAATGTACCATCCAATTTAGACACTGATGGCCAAGAGGAGAAACCATGGAAACATTGATTACGTTTACAGGCACATTAGTATCCTGGTTTGGATGGTATTCAGGGATATAATGTTCACTTGAAACAGGATCAACCAGGGTATCCATGATCATAACAGTATCCGTGTTTCTAAAATGCCTGCATTGATTCCTCAACATCTCAGCCATTTATTTCTGTCCTAATGTTGTTGCTTCACAAACACTTAGTGATGCTGGATGAAGCTATGTGATCATTGGTCATTGAAAGCAAGATGGAGATGCGTAGTGATATCATATCCTGGAATATATATGCAGTTCATGTCATTCTTCAAATACAAATCTTTTCCTATAGGTCAGCAGCTGATGTTCGTGCTCTGATACTAAAACAAAACGAGCAAGCCAAGATAGACGTGAAGGCAGAATTCAGCAAACTAAAAGACGTTAAGGTGAGTTATATTGAATACAAAAACACAAATATTGTCCCAAACTGCAAACCTGCTTTGATATTGAAACTCTTTTCTTGTTGAAACAATTCAGTGAGGAATGTTTCAAAGTTTTCACAGTGAGCTCCAAAGAGTTGATGAAAAAGAAACGTCTGGATCCAGATGACACATGTGATTAAATTCTCCATCAGTGAGCCAGGAATGACAAAATGAAAATGCTTTGATCTCTTCTAATAAATATGTAGAGATACTAATTGAGTATAACATGTAAAGTCAAGAATGTAATTAAGTATGTTACATTTTTTACAGGAATTCCTGCAAGATCTCAACGACTGGCAGACATGGAACTATGTGTCTGGAGCTCTGGGGGTTCTCTCTCTGATTCAGGCAGCCAGCAGCAGAGAGAGAGGAACATCAAGTAACAACATCTTTCACTGTCTTTCATATTGACAGAAATAATAACATTCATAGAAAAGAAGTAAGCTGCATACACTAACATGTTGTGTACAAATGGTAAAGTCAAAGAAAGACTGTTCACATGTGATGTTACCCGTGGAGCCAACAAGGTATTGGATGAGCTGAGTGTGTGTTGCTTCAGAGAGGATGCATTGCTACAGTTTACTCAAAGCTTTTGTATTTTTTGCTTGAAACACAAAGCCCCATATTGAATGATGGTTGTATTGCTTTAACTAATGAATGTGTTGTGTATGGTTTCAGGCTGACATAAAGACGGCTGTGTCCATAGGACTTGAAGAGAAGCTGAGTCATGAACTTGATCAAGTCAGGGAACCCATGGACCCTTATGGCTTTTGAAAGATGTCTCAGTGGGGGGGTTAAAACATCAAAGAGTTCATGTGAAGAAGTCTTAAAGTCGGTCCTTTATCCTGTAAGTATTTCAGTTGGAATTAAATCAAAACGACTCATTTAGCACAAAATATGGATCTGTCTCTTCCAACATTCTGTGTTGTTTCAGACAAAGAAAGGTGGTGCACTTCACAGGTCACTGAAGTGTGGAGTTGAGAATGGTGGCATCCACAAAGCAAGAGAAGGGGAATGAAGAAACATCAACATGAAGCTAACTTCATGTTTGACTGACAGCATTGAGGAGGAATTGAAGAAGACCTTCCCGTAAGAAATGACTTACTAAACACATCAAACCCTGTGTTGGATCAATTGTGTTTTACAATACATTGAAATACATTATTGAAATACAAATGTGGTAAGGCCTTCTGAATGTAAGCATTTCTTTGTGTTCATACGTTTTAGAAATGAAGGAGAAAGAGAACCATTCAACGGGGTCATCAATACATTTCCACTTGGCACAGAGGAGGAGATGAGGAAGAAGGAGTGCGGAAATGTCAAACTGCAGCTGACATTTCTCAAGAGGTCAAAGACCCTATTCATTAGTCCATGATCAAACATGTTTGTCCAGGCCAGGGAGACTGTAGTGGAAGGGTGATCAATAGAATACATATTGATCAGTCAGCATATTCATACACATTGTACTGGAATAACTCAATATGAGCTGGAGATGGCTTTGAAGAATGACCTGCAGCTGTAAAGCGGACCCTGTCCCAGTTCATGAGGAAACTCTCAAGATGACAATAGAATATTCTGATATTGGGCAAAGTGCACCCCCTGCTGGTGAACACGTGCTATCACTTTGAATCATGTACTGCTTTTCCAGGGACAATCTGGAACAAAGAATCAAGGGAAAGATGAGCATAGTCTGTAACATGTTCTTTTTCAAAGATGTTGATATTTGCTTCACATTCTCTCTCTAAGGAAGAAAAGATGAAAACAAACCTCAAGAAACTCCTCCGTGAGCGTAAGAGAAGGATCTCCAGCAGCCTGACAACAACAATGGAGGAGACCATGAAAGAATGCTCTGACAGGAAGACAGAAGATCACTACAGACATAGAAATACACCTCTACACATTTTGATGTCAACATGTTTCTGTTTGATGTAGGAGCAAAAGAAATGAAAGGAGAAGGCACGCTGAAAAACATGAGGGGAACGATTGAAATGCACGTTCATGGTTCAAAAGACGTCATGTTTGATAAGGCTGAAGACGCCATGATGAAACAGCTGAGAGACCTGATGCTTTGTCACATTTGATATTTCCTCCTGCAGTCAAATGAAACTAGGAACACTGCAACACAAACATACATGTGCACACATGTCAGTGTTCAGTGATCAATATTTCAATGCTGATTTAGTGGGAGATCCCGGAGAAAGTGGAGAGCACGATGCAGGAATCAATCCAGCTGTCACTCAAAACAATTGGTCTCTCCATCCCAGGTGAAGGAGACACAACACAAACAATACTGTACATTTCATCCTCATTTAAAATACATTTCCATTAGTGTATTAAATGAATCCACTTGTTTGAAACCATATGTTTTGGGTTTTTAGATGTAAGTGCTGAGCTTGAGATGGTGAAGAACTTCTACAATGAACTGACCGAAGGCCCAGATGATGATGCAGTTCTTTGTTGTTTATTGGAAAGTTAATAACATACAAACTGAATATTCTCTCCACTGTGCCTTAAACTTGATTGAGACACTGCAGCAGACGTGTGAAGATTACTGGTATTATTGTTTTAATATCTGCAAGTTTCAACAGAAAACTGCAATCCAACATTAAGCCAGTCTTTTTGTTTTCATCTTGCTGCTGCTCTGTCTCTTCAGACTCCAAAGCAGGTCCAGTTACATTTCAGCTAATTGCATTTGAGACTGTGGTGTACTACACTGTGGAACTTTCTCTTTTCACTGGGATTTATATGCATTATTGTCAATTAGCTGCTTTGGTTTGGGAGCTGTAGAAAAGGGGGCAATAGGAAGCTTATGAGAGTCACAGTACTGTATGTTCCTGTTGGGTTTTAAATGAGCTGTGTATGTTTTTGTATTGTAGAATCCATTTTGTTTTTCTGTTTTAATGACATTAAATATCTGCTTAATGTCAAGAAAAAGCATTTATTTGTAACCGAACATGGTGAATGATTACAGAACTGAAAATAAAAAAACGTTTACAACACCTGTGAAAACACTCATCTCCTTACAACACTATTTAGCCCTTTTCAATGTTGGCTTTACATGGTTCCTAATGTATTGCTTTCAGTTTCATTCATGTTCCAGTCTGGGAACAGCAGAACTAAGTCTTTTGAAACACCACCTGTCTGCCAGCATGAGAGCCCCACCCCCCCGCCTCACTACTATCCCTCCCTTGGGCCAGAGTGAATACCACACCCTATTTGAGATCAGGCCGGGGTTAGGACTCTGTTCTTCTCACGTAAAGCACAAATCCAATCTTAAATAAGTCAATGTAAGATATGCAAATGGTACTCTTGAATCATCTGATGTTGAGAAATCATGTAGTGATTAATCTAGCATTTAACTAGATTGCCATGCCTGGTGTGTTCAGAGAACAGATATATACATGTTAAACACCACTGCCTCCAAGTGACTGAATTGAGCAATAGCATCCGTGTGAAAACATTTTTGATTGAACTGAGCAAGTGAATACATACAACCCATCTAGGCAGATAGGTCATGTTTAACAGTGTATTCATTGACGAGAGGAAAGCATAGGTTCAGGTTCAGTCAATGAACAACTTTATTTTCTTGACATTAATAAAACAGCATGGATCAGAGATCAATAAAGCTTTCTAATACTCCTCTCCTTCCTCATCCTCATCTCCCAGGCTATCAGCTCCAACCTCCTCGTAATCTTTCTCCAGAGCGGCCATGTTCTCCCTGGCCTCAGAGAACTCTCCCTCCTCCATACCCTCACCCACATACCAGTGCACAAAGGCACGCTTAGCGTACATCAGATCAAACTTGTGGTCCAGCCGAGCCCAGGCCTCTGCAATAGCAGTGGTGTTGCTCAGCATGCACACAGCCCTCTGGACCTTGGCCAGGTCTCCACCAGGAACTACAGTGGGCGGCTGGTAGTTGATGCCCACCTTGAAACCAGTGGGGCACCAGTCCACAAACTGGATGGAGCGCTTGGTTTTGATGGTGGCAATGGCAGCGTTCACGTCTTTGGGAACGACATCACCACGATACAAAAGGCAGCAGGCCATGTATTTACCGTGGCGTGGGTCGCATTTCACCAACTGATTGGCTGGCTCCAAGCAGGAATTAGTGATTTCTGCCACCGAGAGCTGCTCATGGTAAGCTTTCTCTGCAGAAATAACAGGGGCATAGGTGGCCAGAGGGAAGTGGATACGGGGGTAGGGCACCAAGTTGGTCTGGAACTCTGTCAGATCAACATTGAGGGCACCATCAAAACGAAGGGAGGCAGTGATGGAGGACACAAGTTGACTTGTTCAGGTTTGTGTAAGAGGGACGCTCGATATCAAGGTTTCTACGGCAGATATCATAAATAGCCTCATTATCAACCATGAAGGCACAGTCAGAGTGCTCCAGGGTGGTGTGGGTGGTCAGGATGGCGTTGTAGGGCTCCACCACAGCGGTGGACACCTGGGGAGCTGGGTAGACGGAGAACTCCAGTTTGGACTTCTTGCCGTAGTCGACGGACAGACGCTCCATCAGCAGGGAGGTGAAACCAGAGCCGGTGCCCCCTCCGAAGCTGTGGAACACCAGGAAACCCTGAAGACCGGTGCACTGGTCGGACTGAAAGAAAAAGAGAAAATCATGAAATAATAATAATAAATGTATTTATATAATACAAAGACAGCAGTGCCAAGGGTTCACAGCTAATGATAAAAAAGCGTATTAGTGCACAGCATGTAAACATATAGATTCAATGAAAACAGAGCAGAGATAAGAGGGTGCCATACCATGGAGGGCTTTGAATGCGATCAGGAGGATCTTAAACTGAATTCTGCAGGGTGGAGGAAGCCGATGCAAGTGGGCCAGAATCGGGGAAATATGCTCACTTTGAAAGAGTGATACCAGATTGTTATGTCTTGTGTTTGTCTAAAACACTGTACAGCTCTACATTTTAAAACATATACTTCACATATTTATTATTAGTTATGACACTTGGCTTTTGCAATACTTATTTTTGCCATTCACCACAATATGATTGCATACTCCTTGTATGTGAAAACCTACTTAGCAATAAACTGATTCATCTCCATTTAATACTCTTCAGCAAAATTGACTTCTGTTCTAAATGTACTGACCAGCTTTCGGATTCTGTCCATCACCAGGTCGATGACCTCCTTGCCGATGGTGTAGTGTCCTCGGGCGTAGTTGTTGGCAGCATCCTCCTTGCCAGTGATCAGCTGCTCAGGGTGGAACAGCTGGCGGTAAGTCCCCGTGCGCACCTCATCTAAGGGTAATGAGCATTAGATTATTGAAGGTTTTGAATGACAGAGGGGGGAAAAGGTTTATGATACTTTTATCATTTATAATGAATGAGAATGTACCGATGACAGTGGGCTCCAGGTCAACAAACACTGCTCTGGGGACGTGCTTTCCAGCTCCAGTCTCACTGAAGAAGGTGTTGTAGGAATCGTCCACTCCTCCTGAGATGTTCTGGTCACCAGGCTTCCTGCCGTCCGGCTGGATCCCATGTTCCAGGCAGTAAAGCTCCCAGCAGGCATTGCCAATCTGCACACCAGCCTGACCAACGTGGATTGAGAGGCACTCGCGCTGTAAAAGGGAAAAAAAGGTTGTTAAGAAACTATCATAAAAGGAAGCCTAGTGGCTGATTCTTGTGCAAAAACATGTGTGTAACATACATTCTAGTGGCATATCATCACATGTGGGAGGACTGCTCTATTACTATTTTAATAAGAACCAAACATCATATCATGATTTAAGTCACCTGACGCACACATTTGTCATCTGAACAGAAAGACAGTTATAATTCAAAACAAAAAGAGGCTAAATACTGTTTATACGTCAAATACCGAAAGCACAATGACGCAGTTGTTGGCAGACAGGTGGCACGATTGGACGTGAATGTGGGCCAGTGTTAAGAGAGGAGACGCATTTACATTGTCTGCAACTGTCTCACACGGATTGCGCCACTGCCACACCCCTTTAGGAGACTAGTGGCGTGGCAGGCCAGAAAGTAAACACACATAATAATCATCTAATTCGACCTAAATAAAGTAAAAATTGGAACCATGTCTCTCATCTCTCTAATGTGAAGACATTAGAGAAAACACGTGGGTTTGCTATCCTGGCTCCAAAATGGTGGAATGAGCTCCCCATTGACATCAGGACAGCAGAAAGCTTACACATCTTCCGGCGCAGACTGAAAACTCATCTCTTTCGACTCCACTTTGAGCAATAACATTACTAACAAAGCACTTACTAACAAAGGACTGGCTTATCTAAAGCCAGTTGAGTAGCACTTGAAATGTGTTGGCTCTATGAAACCTGATGTACTTATAGGATTCTGTTTTCTTCAAGTTTGTATCTTCTTGGTCGAATGCACTTATTGTAAGTCGCTTTGGATAAAAGCGTCAGCTAAATGCAATGTAATGTAAAGACACTAAACCGAGGTCGACACAAATCCGTCGCAGGAAAAAGAACTCTCGCGAGATTTGGGGAGACAGAGCGTTCATTTTATTTAAATGTCGGCAGCGAGTAATCATTTCAGATAGTACGTTGGAAAAACGCCCTGGTTCACTGAAATTCGTAAAAAAAAAGTTTTATCTGTGTTAATATCATGTTTTAAATATGAAACCATTAAACCTGGCCACTAATGAGACAGGAAGTATATTTATTTCCAACAATTCGCGCCGATTGTAAATGCTTCAATTCAACATCTTGACTGTGCCGTCGAGTTACACTTAATTTACCAACACCACAGTTAAAACGACTTATTAATGGCGAAGCTTGATTTACCAGCTTACACCGCAACATTTTTGTTTCACTATAAAAATGATGCGTCGTCTTTAAAGAGTAAGCGGTTAAAAAACGTTAAGCTGGTTACGTTTTCTCATGATGACAGACGTTCAGAGCGCTGCATTTGGTTAAATACACATCCTCTAAGTGGAGAAAAGCTGTACTATCGTACTCACAATTTTTCTGAAGATGTGAAGACAGAGGGTTTCGATAAAGAAGAGGAAAAGGCAAAGTTATCTCTCACAGCAGGGCCTGTATGAGTCCAGGGTAAGAAGTAACAGGTGTCTTTTTTCTAGACGGGGCTATTTATACTATCTTACGCGGCGCAATTGCTGCGGAATCTGATTGGATGAAAAGACAAGTGGGTCCACTTCTGATTGGTTGAATTCTTTAGAATTTTTTTTAAAGAAACTTTATTGAGCACATGGAAAA